GGGGACAGCCCTGGGGGGAGCAGGGACAGCCCTGGGGAGAGCAGGGGACAGCCCTGGGGGGAGCAGGGACAGCCCTGGGGGAGCGGGGACAGCCCTGGGGAGCCGGCACTGGGTCAGTGCCCATCGGCTCTCGGCTCCCTGAGCACTCCAGTACCTGAGAGGAGGAGGCAGATGAGCCCCTCTGGATGCAGGCACAGCCCCAGTGCCCTGCAGTGCCTCATCACAGGAGCCGTGTGATGTTTTATTTATTCCAGGAAGAATAAAAATTGAATAAATAAGTTACTGAAGCACAATAAAGCCACCCTTTGACAGCCACAGTGAGGAGCTGGCTGGGCCAGATCCCTGCCAGCAGGGGCAGCAGGAGGAGGAGGGCCTGGAGCAGGAGGGGATGTGGATGGCTCCAACAGGACCTTCCTGGGGCATGGCTGCTGTTCCCCAGCTGGGCTGGGAGGGCAAAGGAAGACACACAAGTAAACCCCAACCATAAAGATCCCTGGGGATGGTGGAAGGAACAATCGAGAAGAGCTTTAAGTAACCTACCGTGATCTTACTGGCCCTGTTCAGTGCCTCCACCCAGTCCTGCAGGTCCTTTTGGTCACTGGCTTGCAAGAAATAGCGCTGGGACAGAGCGTTGATAACTGCCAGAGAAGGGAAGGACAAGGAGAGCTGGCAGCAGCCAGAAGAACTCGTGGGACAGGCACCACACTGCAGCTTCCTGAGGCAGGGTGTCCCCCCCAGAGCCCACCAGGACCCCGCTCACTCACCAAAGCAGAACGGAGTTTTAGGCTTCTGTTTCGGGGTGGCAACGCTAACCTGTGACAGAGCAAATCAGGGAAAAAATTGAGTTAACAGCACAGCCAGAGCTGGAAGCTTCCACCCATCCACCCTGCTCCCTGGCTGGGCTCTGCCACCCCAGACAGGACCCTTGAGCAGGACCCCACAGATGTGAGGACAACCTGAGCTACAGCACAGCTGTGCCAGCTGAAGGGAACTGGCCACACCAGCAGAGGGTCCCAGGGGCAAGTCAGCAAGGAGCCAGGACTTTCATCCCCTGCATCCCCTCAGGCCCTGGCTCAGCAGAGGACAGAAAGCTTTCGAGGACCTGAAAACATCCATTCTTCTGGATTAACACAGCCACTCTCTTCAGCAATTAAGAGACTTGAGGGAAAATAGCAGTGTTTTTTCCCTGAAGAGTAGGAATCATTTATATAAGAATAATATTCCTTGAGGCTCCACAAACAGCATTCGTGGAGTATTTATTCTGACAGTCCTCCTCCTTCAAAGACAGTCCATAATGCTTTAAATATGTTTTCTCAAGCAAACCTCCATTTTTCTGGTATATTTACTGTTGGTAGTTCCAGCCACTGACAGAACCCAACCCCACAGTTTGTGACCAAATGCTGTCCTGCAGCAATTTTCATTTAAACTAAAACCTATATAATTTGTGAGGCTCTTTCCAAAATGGGGAAGGCTCAGCCTCTCAGCATTGCTTCATCTGCGCTTAATTTATAAATCATGATTCAGCAGGAACAGAAAGATCTGTCCAATGCTATATCCAGCTCCAGGATAAAGCTGAGCTGTGCCTGCTGTGGCAGCCACCAGCCCCCCAGTCCCCCCCAGCAGCTGAGGGGCCACTGGCAGGAGGAGGATGGTGGCAGCTCCACTTCCCACTGCCATAGCTCCACTGGCACTCGCTGTCTGTGTGACACTTGGTGCTTACCGCACTTTTCCTGCCTTTCCACGGGATAACACCTTTCAGACACACAAGTGAGTTTCCAGGTGGTCTCATCCTTCAGGGCACTGCCCTCTGAGCTCCTGAAGCACTGCTCAGGCAATTGCCAGCTCTGTGCCCAGCTCACACCGATAGCACACTCCTGTTCCCACCCGGCCCTGGCCACCCCCGTGTCCTTCCTCCCAGCAGAGCAGCTCCTCTTCCTCCTGCAACCCAGCCTTGCACCCTGTCCCACCCCAGCCCACGGGTGAGGATGGTCCCAGCACTGGGATCCTTGTGCTGTGGGGTCCCTCACTGCTTCCCACAGCCCCACTCAGGCTTCATCTCAGGGACACGGTCACGAGCTCAGGAAGGACCAGGACCTGGCCTTGGGTGCTTCCAGAGCAAGCCACTGCCTCTCCTGGAATGCCACAAGGATAAGGGGAAAACAGGGAGCACTCACCTTCCCTCTGCCCCACCCCAACATTACCTTGGAGATGTAGGTCAGCTGCAGAGATCCGACAGCACCTGCTCCAATGGCCAGGTTCTGCAACACAGAATGAGCAGAGAGAGGCAAATGACAGGGAGAAGGTGGCAGGGACAATCCAGCCTGTCGTTTGTGCCCCTGGGGTCAGGCAGCCGCTGCCATCCTCAGCCACTTCCCTCTCCTGCACCTGGCTCAGCCCAGAGCCCTCAGCAGTGGGACCAGCCCTGCTCTGCTCCTCGGGACAGTCCTGGAGAGGTCACAGAAGGGCTGGAGCCTGCTCATGGCCATGGGACACTGACACAGCAGGGAGCAGCCAGGGAGACCCGGAGCAGGTGCTTGCTGCAGGGAGGCTGGGATGTGCCTACAGACTCACTGACAACTTTACAGACACACCTGGCACGTGTGCCTACCTGAGGATTGTCCATGTACCACAGCAGGTGGTTGGCCTGGGTGTCCAGGATGAAATACCTCCGCAGAAACTTGCCACAGGTCTCATTTTCTTCGATGTCCAGGAAGCCGCAGATCCGGTTCTGTCGATCCAGGTACGGCATGCCGGGCTCCTTCTGGCATCACCCTGCGGCGCGGGGCAGGCAGGGAGAGGTGGGCAGCTGCTCCCCAGGGAGCTGCTCCCGCAGCTGTGGCCACCCAACCCATCCCAGACAGAAGTTCCAGGATGGCAGCGCAGTCACTCGGCCAGAGCCGAGCTCTCCAGAGGGAGGTGGAAGGGACAACTCACCAACCCATCACTCCCATGAGCCACCAAACCCCACGAGAGAGGACAACGTAGCCACAAAGGGCCTGACATGAGACACCAGAACCCTGAGAACTGTGGCAAAAAATAATCCCAAAGCAGTGTGCTAGAGAGAGCCTGAGCACACTCCCAGGAAACAGGGAACAATCTGCAACTCCAGCAGAAAATCTGTGCAGCCAGGATGTCGAGTCAGCAGGGAAAACAATGACCCATCACGGCAGGGCCACACTGTGTCCCCAGCTCTGCCACCGGCACGGACCCTCCGCAGCACTGACCCCACCCAGGGAGTCTCCTTGGAGGCCCCTTGGCTGCAGTGGGAATCCTGTCAGCACCTCCAGCCCGTGGGGAGGGCAGGAGAGGCCGGGGTGGGCAGGACAGGTCCCCCTGCCCGGGCAGAGCAGGAGGGCAGTGATGAGAGCAGCCGTTACCCAAAGGATGTGAGTGAACCCAGTGTGGTTTGTCTGGCAGGAGAGTGGTGATCACACAGGTGCCAGAAGCAGAGCTACACAAATAAAAGAACTCATGCAGAAAAGGAGGAAATACTATTTTTGAGCTGCAGTGGAGTGGGGCCCGGGGAGGCGAGGGTTGTGCAAGAGCTGGGGTGCAGCTGCAGAGGTAGAGGAGGCAGAAAACAAATCAGCCTGCTGTCAGGATCTCGTTTTATCACCAGCATTGCAGAGACAGATATCGGGGCTTGGCTCATGGGGACCATGCTGCTGCAAGGGGAGAGGTTGTTTTAGACCAACAACAGTGCAAGGGTTTCTGTGGGCACTTCAGGTCTCACTGCTTTTTGTGGGGTTATTTTTATGGTGGGGAAGCACATGGAAAGCCGATCCCTAGGTACCTTCAACCATACCAACACATTCAGACCAAACCTCATAGACCCTTTTCTGCTGACAGCAAAGGTCTAGAGATTTCTGCTTAGGAGACAGATGAGGAAGAAGCAGAACGTGCCACAGGCAGCACAGAGACAAGACCCAAGCCCCATGGGACACCTCTTGGGAGTCTCTATGTCCCACCACCACCATCCTTCATTACCACAGGCTCATCTGGGACACCACAAACCAGCTCAGCCCTTCTGTGCACACTGACCTGCAGTGTCAGGCTGCACCTGGGGGTGCACAAACCTCTGGGCAGAGGAGATTTGGATTGCCCCACACTCTGCACCAAGTCAGCCGGATTCCTGTCCCCTCGCATCCCACTGCCCACACAAGACAAATGATCTCTCTTTGGAGCCACCAACAACTGCACTTTCCCATAAGAAAATGATAAAAGTAGCATCTCCAGCTGTGCTTACGTGGGGCACTGCTCAGGAAATCCAGGAGGGCCAGAAATACTCAGCTTTCTAGTGAAGTGTATCTGAAACTTCCAGGACTCTTTCCTACCTCTGAAGCAATTGGCATGCCAGGTTTTTCAGTCACAATATCCCACTAAAAAAGACACCCCTTACCTGACTCATGGCATGGCAAGCAACTGGGCTACAGAAGATTTACTGCAAAACCCCCTCGCCTGCCTGGGATAAAGGGAAGTGCTCCCCGGGGAGAGGCAGGAGGTGCAGGGCACTGTCCATGCAGCACCCGAGTCCCCTCTGCAGCCACGGCTGGCTCAGAGGCCTCGTGTGCAGCCACACAGCCAGACTTTCCAGGAAGCACCTCAGGATGCCCCATCACAGCTGCCTGTGCCCTGCCACGGCCACAGGAGCAAGCCAGGAACACTCTGCGGCAGAAAAACCCGAGGAAACGACAGCCCCGACATTTGGAGCATCACAGCTCGGCTTCCGGGAGCTTCTCCTCGGCACCTCCCTCTACAGCACCCATCGCACCTGTGGGCAGCCACAGCATCCTCCTCCTCTCCCACACCTGTCCTGGTGCCGCCTGGGGTGCAGGAGGAGCCTCCCGCAGGAGGACCGGGAGCTCCGTGCCCCGTTCCCCTCCTCACCTGAGCTCCCAGAGCTCCCGCTGCGATGTCTGTCCCGACCCACAGATGGGGAGCAACTCGCTCCTGCTAATTTCAGATATTTGCCTTAATGACACTGTTAGTCAGCCTGTTGGGAAGAGGCTCGGTGCAGCCTTCGTCTGCCACAAAAGAGCCGGAGAACACACGGAATAGCTGCAAAGCCCTGATCCCCTCCACTCTCGCCTCCGATCCCCCAGACTTGGGGCGAGGACGGTGCCGCAGCGTTTCCGGAGTTCCCACGGGGACCCCTCCGCTCCTGGCAGAGCCCCCTCGCTGCCTCCCGCTGCCCTGGCCCCGACACTTCTCTGCAGGAACCGTCGAGCAGAAGCCGCTCGCACCGTGAGGGATCGACTCCAGCCCTGGCACGGATGATCCAGCTGCAGGAACCGGAGTCTCCGCCAGGGACAGGGACACCAGCTCTGGGCCCCCTCCCCAGCGGCTCCCGGAGCGGGGCACGGGCGGCTCCAGCCGCTCCGCAGCCCGGGGAGCCGGAGGGAGGATGGGGACGGGGCAGCGAGGGCTCCGTGCCCGCCCCGCGGGGGTCTCTGGAGAGCGAGCGCTGCTCGCAGGCGGCTCCGCGTGTCCCCCGAGCCCGGACTTACCCCGCGGGGTCCCTGGGCTGCGCATGGCCGGGGCCGGGCCGGGGCTGCGGCCGCTGCGCACGCCGGCCGGCCGTGGGAGGAGGACGGACGGGCGGCGGAGGGGGTGTGCCCCTGGCTCCGCCGTCGCTTCTTTCCGGGTTAATTACGTCTGTCATTAGCAAACCCGGCCCCGGATGTGAGTGCGGGGCGCGGGGCGGCTCCGCGGGGTGGAGGGGGGGTCGGTGCCCGTCCGTCCGTGTCCGTGTCCGTGTCCGTGTCCGTGTCCGTCCCGCGCACCTGCTGCGGCCCCGGGGCTCCGCCGCGGGCTAAGCCGCCGGGAGGGGCAGGGGCGGCCCGGTGCGGTCCCAGTGCCAGCCTGTCTGGGCTCCTCTGCGTCCCCCAGAGCCGCCCAGTCCCAGGCTCGGGGCCTTCCCGGTGAATCCCCCAGACCCCACACAAAAGCGCTCGGTCTGTGCCTGAGGCTGGCGCTGATGGAGATGAGCCGCCCACTTCGGGTCGCGGTTCCTGTAAGAGCATCTCTTGGGAAAGCTGCTGCTGGAGTGAGCTCAGGGTGGATTTGGGAGAAGGAAACAGCCGCTGCCCCCGCCCCCGTGCCGCCCAGGGGAAGCCCCAGTTTTTCTCTCCGAAACTCCATCTGGCTCCGAAGCACTTTCCCCCGGCGCGGGTGAAACCGATCCTGGTGCTGCCGCCGCCGAGGGTATGCGGGGATCTGGCTCACGGACACCGCAAGCCCTATCCATCCCACGCTAGTCCGGCTCCTTCCCACTGCCGGCTGCCTGATCCCGGCATCCTGGAGGTCTCGAGCCCTTCCCCGACACCGCTGCCTTCCCCTCTCCCCACCCCTCCCTTTGCAAAGACTAAACTGTTCCAGGGAGTATTTTTGTACCGAGGCATCTCTGCAGCCCTTGTGACCCGCCGGAGCCTGGGGCAGCGCTGGCTTCTGTGCTCGGTCACACGGCAGCGACTCACAGCGCTGCTCTCGCTTCGTTCAGGGAGCCTGGCACTTCTCCTGGGTGTTCCAAGGCGTTTTTCTGCTGAAACGTGTGTGGGGGTACAAGCAGCCCCTGGAACTCACTGAGACACCCCATCAGAGATGAAGGGGCGTGAGGGAAGTCCCGGGGCAGGGCACGTCTCTTGCCCAGGACCTTTGGAGATTGCACCAGCAGCCAGAGCCCCAGGCAGGAGAACACCCTTCGTGTGCCGCGGGGAAGAAGCAGGATCCACAGCAGACAGGGAATAATCTGCTTTCCAGATGCTCCCCTCCAGCGGCAGCAGCCCAGGGACCCTCTGGGCATCTGTTAACCTTCACAAGACCGTGTCCGTGTTCTGCACAACTTCTGACCCTCCCACCCTCCAGCATTCACCGAGCTCTCTGTTCCAGCAGCATCCTCCAGCTGTGAGTTCCACGGCTGGATCTCTGCATGCCGAATTACTTATTTTCATCTGTTCAAACACGCTCTTTTCAGTTTCAGTACCTGTTCCCCTTTTCCTCGTGTGCTGACTGGGGCAGACTCCAGCAGACGACTGCTGTTTGCTGCTCGCCCTGCATCACAGTTCTTGCAGGCAAATTCTCATGGTCCCAGCCATCCTTTACTCCCTTCATCATTCCCCTTTCTGTTCTCCTCACTCTGTTCACTCACTTTCACCATTCTCCCTCACAAAACCAAGCCTCACCGACCGCTCCTGGGGGTCCTAGCAGAGCTTTGAGCTGTGGGACCAGCAGCAGGGCCAGACCACAGAGCAGCCTCACATCCCCCCGTGTCTCCGCAGCCACAGAAACTGCTCTCCACAGCCGAGCCTCAGGTTGTGGAGAGCGGCCCAAAATCATTTGTTGAACCGACGGGGAGGGGGCGAATCTGCGCTGGCTGCGGGCTCTGCCCAGCAAAGCTCTCCGGGCCGGCACCAGGAGCCAGACGGGTCCGGGGCTGTTTTGGTTTCCCTGTCAGTGAGAGGCTGCGGAGCCGTTCTCAGCGGCAGCGTTTATTGAAGCGGGGCCGGTGGGGCCGAGCAGCCCCGGCCGCGTCCCCAGAGAGCAGCGAGCGGCAGCTCCGGCCCCGCCGCCCCTCGGGAGCGCTCAGAGCCGGCCCAGCAGCACCGCCCCGGCCAGCGCCGGGGCCAGCAGGCTGCCCGGGGCCGGGGCCACCCCCGCCCCGTTCCGGGAGCCCCTCGCCGGCCCGTTGCAGTCGTCGCTGAAGCAGCAGCGCACGGTGGCACCGCCGGAGCCGCCGCGACGCGCCTGGTCACAGAAGGACTTGTAGGAGCAGGACTTAATGACGCTGTCTGCAAGGAAAGGCGAGGCGACACGAGGGTCAGGCGCTCCCGGGAGCCGGGACAGGAGAGAGAACGCCTGAACGCAGCACGGTGCGGGGCAGGAATAAAAGGATCTCTCTCCTGCCCACAAGAAGAAGGCACCTCCTGCTCGGCCTCGGCAGGTCCCCTGCTCCTGCTCGCCCTCCGGCCCCCAGCCCCTCTGGTCCCCTCCGAGACCCCACGGTCCTACCCCGCTTCCCCCAGTCCCCCCAGCACCCCGGCCCCCCAGCCCAGTCACTTACTGGGCGCGGTGATGGTGGAGCAGGCATCGGCGAACTGGGGGCAGCTGTGCGATCCCTGCTGGTTGCAGTCGTTCTCGTTGGATGCGACACATTTGTGGCATTTCAGCGCTTTACCTGGGTGAAGATGAGGAGTGGGAGTGACTCCTGTCACCGTCCCAGAGCCCCCAGTGCCCCGACACTCTCTGGGTCACCACAGACACTGGTCAGCCCCAGGACCGGGGCTCACAGGTGAGGGCTGGCACCAGACAGAGTCGAGCCAGGAGCCGGCGCTGCCACGGCCTTCAGCAGGATGCAGGATGGGGCCTCCCCTGCCCACAAAATTAATGCAAAAGTCTTCCAAGTGTGACTCAAAATGATGGGAGCTACAGCAGGCAGGTGAGCTGAGTCCTTGCGCTGCAAAGACTCCCTGAGAGTTCTGGAACTCCTTTTACAGTAAAAATAGACATAACCGTTAAAAACCATCTTAGATCTTTGTCTTCTTGTGCCAGATTTCATTTTAATAAGTATTTTTAGGGGGAGAAGGGAGAATCCATCCAACCAGTGGGTGCAGTTCCCACATTCTACAGCGCACTGGGGAAGCTCAGCCCGAGGATGCTGCCTGGGGACAAGCAGAGTGACAGGCAGCAAAGAGCCAGGCAGGGACGAGCCATCTCCAGATGGTCCTTAAAGGAGCCCCACGGGCAGGTTAGATAGCAGCCACCCCTCTCTCCTGTGTGTCAGATAGTGGTGCAAGAGCTGTGTGGCCCCTCAAACACACACCCCCAGAAAAACCCAGACCTGAAGATCCCGTTCCTGCCTTGTTTTTGATGGGGCTGGACAAACCTGGGAACTGAAACTCGTCTCTGCTGCGCTGACAGAGCAGAGCCCTCTCGTGGCAGCGGGGCCGGCTCCTGCAAGAGCTTCCACCTTCATCTCAGGGAGAGAAAACCCGAGAACGGGGAAAATTGGGATTTCACGGGGTCAGATGCCAGTAAGCGCCTTTCATTAACCCACAATGACCCGGCTTCCGCTGCTGGCTGGTGTTGTGCGTCCTCTGCTGTTCCTCACAGCCTTTCATCTGCCCTGGGCTAAAAATCCAGCTGCATTCATCATGCCTTGGTCCAAAGATCCTGAAACTGTCTATAGCTGCCCCTACTGCATGGCATTGCTCTGAGCAGTGCAATCACCCCCCTGCCTTTTACAATGGTTTTCTGTGATTATGCCTTGGAGAAAGCAAGTTTTAGCAAGGAAACACAGCTCTAGCCAAGAGAGGCTGCAGGGGTTTGGCTCAGGAGCCTCCATTGGAGGGGGAGACCAGAGATTCTGTGGTCTCTGCTGGGCACTGCACGCCTGGGCTTTGTGCCAGTGGCAGAGAGGCAAAGGACAGGGGACTTCTCTTGGTGCTGCTCAGAGGAGAAAGCCACCCTCCCCCCAAAAGATGGTTTTCCTGCAGGGGTGGGAGCAGCATGGGGCAGGGACACCGGGGGCAGGTGACAGGGATGGAGCAGCAGCAAGCGCAGGAGCAGCCACAGCGATTTACCCGACCTTGTGCTGCCTGGAGCCAAGGGACACTTACCTCCTCCAGCCAGGGACGAGACGATGGCCAGGGCCAGAAGGGTCTTCAGGGCAGCCATTCTCAGCAGTGTGCAGTGTGGGGTGCCTAGCTGCTCTTTTGTCTTAAGGTCTTACAGCTAATCTGCTTGGGTGACTGCATCGGGGGTGGGATAATGCATCTTAGCCAGGGGGGACAGGACACAGCTCCCCAAGGACACGGGGACACCAAGGGCTGCCCAATGGAAATGGGGCAGAGCCCCACGCTGCTGCCGCTGGATGGGCTGGGCTCTGCTCCATATCCTGCTTTGGAAACCATCTCTGGACACAGAACCTTGTGGTGGCTTTCAAAGAGCTGGATCAAGCCCAAATGCTCCATGCAGAGAACAACCCCTTTCTTGTCACGAGTAGCAGCCAAGCTGGGGAAAACTCCTCCAGATTTTCCAACCCACCAAAAGAGAAGTGCAAGAGAAGAGCTGAAAACCCCTAGAGGGCTGGGAGCCCAGTGGAACCATTCCTGCACCCCCCAGCCCCCAGGGCTCCTCCCAGAAGGATTTGCCCAAGGCCACAGAGGGTTGTCAGGGTCAGGGCAGGGATTAGGCCAAGGATTCTCCTGCCTGCCATCCCACTGCTGCCTCAGCTCTTCCTGCTGGCTGAGCTCACCACCATGGCTTAGTTACCATCACAGTGTGCTGGGAGTGCTGGGAGTCACAGGGCCAGAAAAGTCATCCCAGGTCTGAATTTAAGAGCTCAGAAATGCAGATTTCAGGTAACTGTACTTATTTGAAACCAACTGCCAATCAATGTAAACTGCATTAATAAGACAAGGCAGAACACATCCCATTCTGGAAGGTAAAGCCAAGTCCTCCAAAAACTCTTCACCAACCTCACAAACACCAAGAAAGCTTTCAAGAGTGATAAACACAGTTTTTACTCAGGCAATGAAACATGGAAAAAATATATTAGTAATCATTATAATAATCTCATTTGTGTGAGTATAACTCTTACAAATATTTACCTGACATATAAAAGGGAAATTGTCATACATATAAAATCGATGGCGATGGCAGTTACACACATGGCTGGAAGCAGAGGAGCAGGAGTCAAGGCAGAGGAAGTTCCTGCCTGGGGGAGGCCACAGTGGAGGGACAGGGGAAGAGATCAGTAGTTGGGGGTTACTGGTTGGCACTTGGTTACAGACAGCTCTGCTGGCAAACACACACTGCAAACAGCAACGCAGCAGCAGGGGCAGGGCCTGCTGCTGCCAGAAGGGGCATTTAAAGTCTACTGCAAGAAACAGAGGACAAACACACCCAGCTGTGACACCACGTGCAGGGAGCCGCCATTCCCTGCGCCAGGCATGGGGACACCATCACCTCAGCACGTCTGAGCGTGGCACACGAGGTGCAACCATCCTGCCTGTTGGCAAACTTCTATTTTATATAGCTATACCCATTATACATGTATTTATATATATGGAACTATACCCATATTATAGTTAATAAATCATTCCGTAGGAATCTTCTTTGCCCAGACTGGGGTGTATGCGGACAGGCACAGGAACAGCACCGGGAGCAGCACGGCAGGGCCGGGTGACACTGGGGAGGGACACTGGGACAGGAGGGATGGCCTGTGCCCCGTGGGGTATCACTGAGGAGCCGTGCTTCGCACACAGCCCGCAGGGAAAGCTGCACTGGTGAGCGCTGTGTGCAGGTCAGGGGCTGGGGGAAGTGCTGAGTGGTGAAATCTAAACTTCTGCAATTATCCATCAGCTCCAAGGGCCACAGCAATGCCCCAAGGAGAGACTGACCTGACAGCAGGTGAGCATCATGGCCCTGAGCAAAGCAGAAGGCTGAGGGCTGCCACAGTCCCCACCTGGGACCTGCCTCCCTCCCACACCTGGGCTCTGCCAGCTGCACAGCGGCACTGCGGGCAGAACGGTGCCCCTGTGCCCAGAACCAGCCCTGAACCAGCCCTGAACCAGCCCTGAACCAGCTCTGAACCAGCCCTGAACCAGCTCTGAACCAGCTCTGAACCAGCTCTGAACCAGCTCTGAACCAGCTCTGAACCAGCCCTGAACCAGCCCTGAACCAGCCCTGAACCAGCTCTGAACCAGCCCTGAACCAGCTCTGAACCAGCTCTGAACCAGCTCTGAGGTTTTGCAATGCTGCATTTTGCTTCCTCAAGAGAGAAATCCAACTGCCCAAGCAATCTCTGGTCTCAGGGGTTTTCCTGCACTGACTCCCCAAGGGCAGCAGAAATAGTCCTTGATCGTTCTAATGAAGCTTTTTCACCAGCCCAGGAGAGGGACATGTGGGGAGGTCAAAGTGGTTAAAAAGAGAGGGGCAAAGAGGGGTTTTCTTTTCTGTCAACCGTGCAAAGGGTGAATATCCAGCACAAGCAACGGGTGCACTGCTTTGAGCGGTGTCAGCCACTGGCTCCTGTGACCAGTCGGTTACTGGGATAACTGGGAGTGGGGAACAGCAGGGGAGCTGCGTGCTGGGGCAGGCTGCTGACACCTTTGCTTAAGTGTAGAATAAACCCTCTATATATTATATAACTAATAAAACAAAATCAAGTGTATGGCTCTGGCTTAAACAGGTGTTCGCCCTGCATGCTCAACATAGGGAATTAGAAAATAGAAGGAAAAGAGCTCAATTCTGTTAGAAAAAGGTAGCAGCAAAAAGGTTTGTGAAAGTGTTCAACAGGCTGGGCAGGAAACAATCCAAACTGAAAATATTTCCCTTATTTCATACCTATCCATTCAAGGCAAAGAATCCTCCAGCCCTGCAGTTACTGCAGCAGCCACGAGGCAGCTCAGGGTTCACCTCCTTCCTCCTGCAGCCTCTGAAATGGAACCTTGATCTCACCATGGCACAGGCACTCAACAGCAACAGCCCTGGCTCTGTCCGTGTCCAGCAGGAGGTCACCCAACCCCGCAGGGGCCACGGGCAGGACGGACAGGCAGTCCCTGCTCTCCAGAACCAACACCTCCCCTGCTTCTCAAACACCTCTTGGTGCAGAAACCTCCTGCCTGCCCTCACCCGGACTCTCCCCTGGGAGGACCGAAGTTACTCAGGTTACGTGACTGTTTCAGTGCTCTAGGGGGGAACAAGTCGTGCCTTGTGTCAGCACCGTGCCTGTCTGGAAGGAGTGAGCAGAGAGCCCAAGTGCCCATAAATGCTCATAAAGTGCACAAATGCAGAGATGTCAGCTCCCTTCCTCTGAGGCTGGCACAGCCAGGGACAGGGAGATGCTGTGCTGTGCTTCACCCACCAAGCAGAGCCCGGCCATCCCAGTGCCAGCTCCCCTTTCCCAGGGCCAGAGCCAGCAGTGCACCCCTGCCACCACCCACATCCCAGGGCAGGACCTAGCACGGGGCTGGACCTGCCCCGCTGAGCACGACAGGACAGTAAGTGACAAAGTGTGGTGGGGACACAACTAGACCCAGCCAACCGAGGGGGACAGAGCCCAGGCTGTCACCTCCAACCTGAGAGGTGGCACTGGCACGGAGGGACAGGCAGGCCCTGGGAGGGACAGGCAGGCCCAGGCTGACCACAGAGCCCCAGAGCTGTGGGAAGCAGACAGGGGGAGTGAGAGGAGCGGCTCTGCTCAGGAGCCTCAGGCCTGGCAGGCAGGCTGGGCACGTGAGCTCTCCCGCGGGGACTCCGGGGTAAGGCAAGGTGCTCGACGTCACGAGAAAAGCAGCCAAGTGCAGAGTGCTGGGCAAGGGGTGCTGAGGCTCAGTCGGACTTCCCCAGTTTTGCTATCAGCTCATCGCAGATCTTGGTCAGCTCCTCAATCTCCTGGTTCTGGAAGAAAAGCAGATCTTGGGGACTCCTGTGGTGGCGCAGGTGGGGGATAACACCCGGGCCCATCTGCCACCGTGTGTGTGTGGGAAAGGGCAGCAGCTTCTACAGCTGTCCCTGCAGCAGCTCCTCTGTGCATCCAGGCACTGTGTGGAGCCCTGTGCTCACCCCTCTTCATCCCAGTCAGGTCTGCAGCAACCCAGCCCACAGCTCTGCAAACAGGCACACCTAAGCCATTCTGCCCAAAAAAATCCAAACCAAGCCCATAAAACACAAAAAAACCCCGAGCAAACAAAAAAAATACCCCAAAAACCAAACCCACGAAACCCCTTCTGGACCAAAAATCCGGAGACCCCCTCCTGCATGAACAGGATGCTCAGGGCAGTAACAGGAACTGCTGGCAGAGAGGCGAGGGCAGGAGCGTTACCTTCTGCTGCAGGGCTCTCTCCAGGGACTCCACCTTCATCTGCTCCTTGCGCAGCCCCGCGTGCAGCGCCGCGCTCTCCGCTCGGGCCTTGGCGCGCACCTGGGCGATCTCCTCGTTGGCTCTGGACAGAGGGGCCAGCTCAGGGTGCAGCCAGGAGCACCACGGCACGGCCTGAGGCCCTGCAGAGCCTGCACACAGCAGAGGGGGTCTGCCCGTATGGAACCTGGGTTCATCCAGCTCCTCCTGCCCTGTACCAAACTCTGCTCTTTGAGTGCCAGGCCAAAGCAGCTCACCACCCACCTCTCCTGGGGTTACGTGTGCTGGTGAGCTCCTGCTCATCAGCTGAGCCCCAGGGCTGCACAGCCCCCTCCTGTACCACAAACCCTGAAAGATGGGAGCCTGGTAAGTGACCGTAAATAGACCGTGAACCTCAGATTCTCCATTAAAAAATAAATAAGCAGAGATCAGAGAATGTTTTCAGGGATTTGCTCTGCCTTGCTCAGAGACACTTGAAGCTGAGGTTGTAAAATGCAGCTTTTCACATCATTCAGCTCCAGCCTCTGGAGAGCAAATGAAGCCACTTCCCTACAAGGTCCTGAAGCACCCAGCAATCTCATGCATGACCTTACTTGTCTAATTTTTCTTCTGCGTGGACTTTCAGGGCCTGGTACCGCTGCTCTTCTTGCTTGACACGGGTTAGATAATCTTGAGCACATTTCTTCAGAGCTTCTTCATTCTGGAAAAGAAAGTACATCCATCTGCATTGGGACTGGGCACAAAGACACTGCTCTGACAGATGATAGATACTGTTCTGAGTGTAAGAAATAAGGTTTTTAAAAAAACCCAACTTCTGCTTTATGCTGGAGCCCCTTATCCAGCTCAGCAGCATAGAAACATGCAGTGTCACTGCACAGGAACCAGAGCTGCAGGGAGAAAGGGCAAAGCAAGGTAAGGACCTTCTTAAATCCTTCCAGGACGCCCTTCAGGTTTTCATATCTCCTGAACAGATCTGACAGGGACCTCTCCACTGAGTTCAGGTCTGCCAGAGCCTGGTCCTTTTCCATTGTGAGCTGCTGCAGGTTCTTCTGAGATGTCATGTTTGTCCTCTGCTCATCCTCTGGGATGGGGAACAAACAACAAGGACACAAGTGACTGAGCTGTGGCAGCCAGCTCCCTGCCCCACACACCTGGCCAGGTGACAGCACCTTACCTATCATCTGGGCAATGGTCTTTTCATACTCAGCCACGATTTTCCTACGAGGAAGAGAAAAAAAACGAGGTGGGAGGTCACTGATTCTGGGGACATGCCCCTCCAGTTGTGCTGCCAATCTGCCCCACAGGAGGCTCTGCTGGCCCATGCCCTGTCACCACTGCACCCCCAAGGAGCATGGCCACAGGGCCCAGATGTTGGGGCTGCAAACCAGATGTTGGGGATGCAGCCCAGATGTTGGGGCTGCAGCACAGATGTTAGAACTGCAGCACAGATGTTTGGGGATGCAGCACAGATGTTGGGGCTGCAGCACAGATGTTTGGGGATGCAGCCCAGATGTTTGGGGATGCAGCCCAGATGTTTGGGGATGCAGCACAGATGTTGGGGCTGCAGCACAGATGTTGGGGCTGCAGCACAGATGTTTGGGGATGCAGCACAGATGTTTGGGGATGCAGCACAGATGTTAGAACTGCAGCACAGATGTTGGGGCTGCAGCACCCATCAGGCCAAAGCTGTGCCACTGGGGCTGGCCCAGCTCACGGGATTTTATTTCTGCAGCAAAGGAAGGAGCAGGCGTGACCAGCACCAGCACTAAGGGAACACCTCTGCCAGGACAGCCCACCCTGCTGAGGCTGTCCTGTGTCAGTCACCCCTCACATCCTGCTCAGCCTCCTCCTGCCCCAAGCGCAGAGCCCTGCAAGGGGACAGCTCCTACCTCATCTCCAGCACTTCCTGCCGGCTCTCCTCGTATTTCTTCTTCCACTCGTTGGCCTCCATCTCCTTGGTGATTATCTGGGTTGCAGCAGACAGGGGGCCCTTAGGGTGTGCTCCAAAGGGTTCCCCTCCGTGTCCCACGCAGGGGATCAGGGGATCAGATCCCCCCCCCAGGCAGGAGCTGGCCCTGCTCCCCCGTGGCAAGAGGCAGCTCCAGGGGCCAGGGGCTCAGCCCTTACCTCCTCCCTGATGAGCGTGAGCACGGCCGCCTTCTCGGACTCGCTGAGGCAGATGCCAGCCAGGGGACTCTCGCTGCTGGGGCACTTGTCCATGGAGCACAGCCCGGGATTGTCCTGGGGGAATTGCCCAGCTGGGATGTTTGGGGTGGGGTGTGTGGTTCTTTGTACCCACCTCCCCTCTGTGGAGTGCTCTCTGCTATTTCATCAGCATCTGCTCACGTACTGCATTTCCCACTCTGCACACACAGAGCCCAGAGCCTGCTCCTGACACCTGGCAGAGCTTGTGTGAGGTTTTAGTGCCTTCTCTTGCCAGGAGCCAGGAGTGTGCCACAGGACACCCATGAGCTGCCCCAGGAAGGCAATACCCCAAAAGGGAGACCCACTAAGGGCCCATTTCAGAAGGAGGAGATGCAGCTCCAAGCGCAGATGTGCTCACATCCAACTTCCCTTATTCCATGGCTGGTTTGAAAATATCCCCAGCCTGGAGGGTCTCTGCTGATTGTGAGCCACAGGCAGGGGTGGTCTGCAAGGGTATGGGTTGACTTTAGCCCCTCCCAGTCTGGTGGGGACATCACTGCAGCTGATGTACTCAAATTGCTGCTGGCAGCAGCAGGGATGTTTCCTGAGCCTTGCTGATCACCCAAATGCCCGAGGAAGCTGTGAGGGCAGCAGAGTTCACCCTTCTACAGAGCAGGGGTCCAAGGGACAGCCCCACTCATCCCTGGTGCTCCAGGTGTCCAGGAGAGCTCTGAAATAGGAGATGCTCACACAGAGATCCTGGTACCCTCCTGCTGCCATTCTGGGTGCCTCCATAAGGACTGGGGTGGTTGTTCCCCATTGCCTTCCCTTCCCAAAGCCCAGCCTGGGCACCAGTGCAGCCACAGAGACAAACTGGGGGAAGGCTCAGCCCAGGTGCTGACAGCGCCTGTTCCTGCTTTCACCACCCAGGCGAGCGACAGCCACGCAGCATCTCCTGAGAACGGGCTGCCAGGCCAGAAATAGAGAAGTGCTGGGAGGAAGGAGGCAGCCTACCCGTCACATTTTGGAAACGAGAGCACTGGAGCACTTCTCCCCTCCCCTCCTCCCTGGTGCTTCAGCTGCTGCTCAGTTCAAGCTCCCCAAGCCCTCACAGCTCTGCTGTAGCCAGGGCCAGAGGTGGGACCCACCCCCAGGGACAGGTTTGGGGCTGGGCACCCAACACTGAGGAGGTCCAGCCCAGCTGCCTCCCACAGGGGGACACTGCAGGGCCAGATCCTGGCTCTCCTGGGCACCAAAGAACAGGTTCACTTTGCCTCAGTCCTTGTGGGGCTCAGCTCAGTTAAATCTGTCTCAGAGAAGCTGGTTTTGCTGATGGTGCTAATCTCATTGTCATCTGCTCGTCAGCTCAAGCAGCTTTGGCCAGGGGCTGCTGAGCTGGCACAGGGTGCCCCCCGCAGCAGAGGGGTCTCGGGGCATGCCAGGGCTGTCCCAGCCCGGTGCTGCTGCTGCTGCTGGGGTGCCAAGGTCAGCGTGGCTGCAGAGCCAGGGTTCTTTACTCTTGCCCCATCCCTGCTGCCAGCTGCCTTGCTGAGAGCAGGGCTGAGGATCCCCTGCAGAAGGCATCAGCACCACTGGGCCATGGGAGCCAGCCCAGGCACTGCCCCTGAGACACAGCCCGTGCCCAGCAGCTCGTCCCCATGGTCTGCTCTGCCCTCTCCCTGTCCTTCAGCCCCGCTCCAGTGCAGCCCTGGCTCTGCACAGCTCCTGCCCTGTCCCTCCCTCCCACCCCAGCAGGGATCAGCCTCTGCCAGGCTCTCCAGGCCTGCTGGGAAAGCTCTGCTATTTTTATCAAGTCCCTGTGTGGGCTTGTCAAGAATTTTACCTCCCAAAGAAACCCGTCTGAGAAAGGAAAAAGCGAGACACACTCACAGGGAAGATTCCAGGCCCTCCCTTTTCCATCTGCTTGCAGATCTCCCTTTCAAAACCTAAAGACAATGAAACACAACCTTTTATTGACTTGGAAACAAGACCCTGGGAATGCAGAGACACAGCAGGGTACCTCTGAGCCTCTCTATCCCCTGAGCTTCCCCTCCCAAAGGCGTCTTTGCCCCCAACTCTCGCCCCCACATGGAATCATTTTGGTTGGAAAAGCTCCCTAAGACCATCGAGTCCCCAGCACTGCTAAGGGCACCATTAAACCCTGTCCCAGGTGCACCCTGGAGCTTCCAGCAGTCCTTGGAAGGAAACCAACACTTCCCTCTGGTGGCAGTTCAGCCTGGGCCATGTCCCCAGGACTAGCCGAGACCACGGAGGCTGAGGAAGAGGCACAGGATGTTCTGCACTGGAGCAGGATGCTGGAACAGACCAGCTGCTCAGAACAGCACAGGCATCAGCCCGTGCCTGATGGGAGCTCTCAACACCCTCCAAAGGACCTGCCATAGGGCCCCTGCTGCTCCTAACAGCAGAGAGGAGATAAAGAACATCTCCTCCCATCTGCAAGGTGTGGGACACCCTGACCTGAGGGACACTGCCTCACAGGACACCCTGACCTGCAGGAGGGACACCCTGACCTGTGTGACACTGCCTCACAGGACACCCTGACCTGTGTGACACTGCCTCACAGGACACCCTGACCCAAGGGACACCCTGACCTGTGTGACACTGCCTCACAGGAGACCCTGACCTGAGGGACACCCTGACCCAAGGGACACCCTGACCTGAGGGACACTGCCTCACAGGACACCCTGACCTGTGGGCACGGTGCTGCCTCATGTAGCATAAGGAATAACTTATGGGCAGCACCCACACAGCTGCAGACATGATCCATGAGTTCAGCAGGCAGAGAACAGTGCATTTAGAGAGCTCAGCTTGGAGAGAAGGGAGGTAATGAAACACTGCTGACTGCAGCCTTCCCACTGCTTCCCTCCGTTTATCCCGGTGCCAGCAGCTGCACCCACAGCTCCCAGCCCATCCTGCACCTGCCCTCTGAGACCAGCAGCAGTCAATAAACCCTCCCAGCCTCTCCCTCCACTGTCACATTTTCCTCCCCTGAGGACAAAGGACCATTCTCCTGGAGCAGGCAGCCCAGCACAGCCATGGGGAGAAGTGATTAATGGGTCCCTGCAGAGGGGAGGGCTGCAAACCCCCTGTGGTGATCTCTCCTGCTTGCACCTAGGCCTTGGCTATTGACAAAGTGTCATGTTGCCTGGATTTTAATTATTTTGTAATGGCTCGGTCAGAGAGGCTAATTGCATGGGAAACTGACAGCAGAATTCCACCAGGAGCAATAACTGGAGTCTCTAGGCATTATTGAGATCTCCATCAACCACAGCCCCTGTGCCAGGACAGCGAGTGCTGGCAGCTCTGCTCCAGGCACAGGCTCTAGGCAGGGACTCTGCAGCCCAGGAGCCAGGGCAGGAATGGGGACAATGGTTCTGCTCAGCTCTCAGCTCTCAGCTCAGCACTGAGCACCAGTGGGGCACTGCCAGGAGCACCTCGGGGAGGGAACCCTGTGCCTGAGCCACATCCCACTGCAGCAGTGTGGGAGAGAGCTCTCTACCCAGTGTCAATAAACACAGCCCACACCATCATGTTCCATACTGGAAATAGAGCAGGAAAGCAATGGGAGGTTCCAGGAGAACCTGCAGCAGCCTTTAGCCCTGGCAGTACAAACAAACTGAGGAGGCTGCACTGCCTCAACAGCACCAATCCCTCGCTAGAGGCTGCAGAGGCTCCCTGGGTGCATTCCTAGGGCTGAAGGCAACAGAGATGTTCCTCACCTGCCTCTGGTCTGTGCTTTGCTGCAGACACGGGGATGTTCGAGCACTCAAAGTACTCCAGGTCATCTTCTGGCTCGGCCTTCTTCTCCATCCCGGATGGTTTCTGCATGGAGCTGCTGGAGGCCAGCTTCTCCTCATCAGTGGCACGCCCATCCCGGTTTGTAATGGCTGGGATTTCTGAGATCAGCACTCCTTCATCCTGCAGGATCAGAGCGTGCAGTTAAGCAAGACCTGCGGGGATCAGGCCACCAGGCGAGCTGCTGGTTACTCCACAGAAAGCATGGAAGCCTAAAATCCAGTGTCAAACTGCTCCCCACCAGCCTTTTCCCTCCCTTCCCATCAGGAAGTGCCCACAGGGAAGATGCCAGCCCGAAGCTCAGCCCAGCTCTCCCCACCACCATCCCTGTGCCCAGCCCGCCGCTCTGGGGACGAGACCCCACGCACCTGAGCGCCCACGTCCAGGACCAGGGGCTGCGCCTCGTGCTGCTTCACCTTGCAGCCGCTCCTGCAGGAGAGAGAAGCAGCAGCTGAGGGGGCTTCAGGGGCAGTGCAGGGGAGCGGGGGCACGTGCCAGACAGCCCAAGCAGGGGGAGCAGTCCCAGCACCAGCGTTGCACCCACCACGTGCCAGCACCCCACTCACCACTGAACACCGGGGCAGAGCAAGTTCTGGAGGGAACAGAAGGAACAGGCAAACAAAAGACACAGCTACACAGAAGTTGGGTTTGTCTGTGAGGTGTTTATTCCTGAGGAAGGTAAGGAGCAGAGCACAGACCCCAAGAAGCTGATGGCGAGAGAGGCACTGCCAAGGCGCCAGCAAGAAGGATCTCCCTCGCCGCGCCCTCGCCCTGCGCGTCCAGCACGACAGCAGCCACGGCTTCAGTCGACTTTCTGCAGGGAGAACCACGTCCAGGCTGCCTATGCCCTGTCCCTACATCTGGAATCTTGTCGGGGACTTCTCCACAGCATCCACGTTCCCACACGGCTCAGAGCAGCAGGGCCGGCTCAAGGCGCCGTGCCTGGAACGAACGCTCCGCCTGGCGCAAACGCCGTCCCAAGGAGAAGGGCCTGTGGCTGGCAAGTTTAGCTCAATCAGGTCTTGCAGGTGGTCCCCTTGCTGTCCCTGGAACTTCATCCCACGTTCCTGAAGACACCGATCCATCTGCGCACGGGCACGGCCGCGTCCCCACGCGCCGGGCGTCAGCACAGCAGCGGAGGCACGGTCCCAGGGGGAATGTGGCTGGGACATTTCTCCTGTGGCGTGAGCTTTTCTCCTGCATCTCACCCCTCACAACCGACACTCAGGGGCCTCCCATGCTCGTGGCCACGTCTGCCCCCAGGAGATGCTTGCTAAGCTGGAACAGCTCGTGTGAGAGCAGTGGGGACCTGGGGAGGGATCCCAGCCTCCAGACACGGCACTCGGCACACAGGGACACAGGCAAAGGCTTGAGCAGGACTGCAGAGAGCTGTTCCCAGGTTTATGGAGTTGCCCCCAGGCACTGCCACTCTCCAGCCTCCCCATCCCACCCGTGCAGCGAGCACAGCGAGGTTCCTCTGCACGCTGCCATGCACACCTCGGTCACATCGAAAAACCGCTCTGCGCTGCTCTTCTCCCTCACGCCCTGCCACCAGCAAGTCAAACCTGTCATGTCCTCACCGTCTCCTGTGCCAGGGTTACCCCATCACCTGGCAGCAGGTTTGAGCTCCCCCCCAGCACCAAGATAACAGCTCTGGATCGCACGAAGTCCTGCTGCCCCTCCATTAGCTGAAGGTTCTGAGTGCTCATCCAGCATCAGAAGACGCTGCAAGGCGGCATGCTGTGAGGAGAAGCACAGGCCTGTGCCTCTGCTGCAGCTCAGCTCAGCTCAGCTCTCCTCCTCTCCCTCACTCCCAGGCACTCACCAGGCCAGGCCACCCTGGGGACCCCGCCAAGGGACAGCAGAGAGCACAGGTCACAGGGCAGAAGGAGCAGCATGCCATGGAGACCAGTGGGGCAGCACACACCCAGAGAGAGGACAAAAACAGCAAAGGAAAAGAAAAGGAATACAGGAGAGAGTACTTACAACAGAAAACAGAGAAATTTCACTTGCTCAGTAGTCCTGATGCACCAAAGCACGGACAGGGAGAGAGACAGACAGATGGAGAGAAGAAGAGTGTGTGAAAAGACCTGGATGTTAACCCTGCTCTGGAGAAGCACAGTGAGCTGCCTGGCTCAGTCTTTGGGAAGGCACACACACACACTGGACACTCTGATCCTGCATTTGCTATCCACAGCAGAGGGGCGAGATCAACAAACCTCACTGCCAGGACAACATCCTGCTGCCTGCAGTGCTCCAGGGGGACAGAGAACGAGCAGAGAATTCCCTGCAGCTTCTCCTCCCCACTGGCTCTGCTCACCCACAGCCACACATGGGAACACTTCCTCTTAAAAAATCTCTATCTACTTTCTGTAAAGTATTTCCTGGACAAAAACATCCAACATCCAACACAGCCTGATTTTTTTCTTTCTCTGTAAAAACCCACTATCTGATTTTCTCACTGGAGAATCTGACAGCAGAGTGAGAGTCTACCTGTCCAACCTGTTCTCTTTCTCTGACATAAAGCAGAAATTCAGTGTCAGCTCACAAAATATCTCAGCTACATTTGACCAACCACAGCTGCATCCACCAGCTCCTGCAAATCCCTGCCCAAGTCCAGCAAACACATCAGCTCCAGCCTCCACTACAGGTTTCCTCTGACACCACATCTACACCGTGACCCACCAGCTGGACCCTCAAGGGGTTCCAAAGAGGTGATCCTGCAAGTGGGTCCCAATCCAGCCTTCCCTGCTCTGCCTGGGACTCTGGCACTGTTCCAGAGCAGCTGTCCCTCTCCTCCCATCCCTGAAGGCACCAGGGAGCTGCCCCTCTGCTGGGACAGCAGGAGGATAAAACCCAGGCACCAGCAGAACCTGAGGTGCACGACAGGATTTGGGGCTGGCTCAGGAGGCAGCAGGGCAGCAGCAGCAGCACCTCCATCACCACCAGCACTGCAGCTCTGCTGCCCATGGGGAAAACAGGGGCTGTGGCCCCGGCCCTGCACACACTGGCACTCACGTTATCAGCCGTGACTTGGGCTTCTTGGGGGAGTCTGTGCCTTTCAGGGCATCATCCTGCATCTCCAGCGTCTGAGACTCGAGGATTTCATTGAGGCTGTTATCTGCAGTGGAGCAAGAGTCGGCGTTGGTGCTGGCAAGTGTCTTGGTGGGCTTGAATGGATCCATGGAGTCAAAGTTATTGGGGTCAAACCGGTAAGAACCCTTGGGGAGAACCGGCGAACTTTGCAGTGCTGAGCTGCCACTGAGGGAGCTGAGAGCAGGGCTGTCCCAGCAGGGGGGACCTGGCTGGGAGGAGCCCTGGGGCAGAGGTGGCTCTGTGGGACCCCTCTCTGCGTCCTCAGCTGCTTTCCTGGGGGACTCTCTGTGTCTCTTTGGTGTCAGCTTGCTGGCCGGGATCCTGCTGCCCCTCCTGGGCGAAGCTGGCTTGGCCTCCACGCTCTCTCTAGCTTCTGTAACATCAGCCCCAGGTTTCAGGACCTGCCCTGGGGCCTCCAGAGCCAGGTGCCCCCCCAGCTCCCCGGGATGGGGAAAGCATTGTGGGGCTGCAGGGGGAGAGCTCTGCAGCTGGCAGGCTCCGGCAATGAAGGGGTTCGCACTCCCGTCACGCTGCTCAGGGTCAAGCTGGTAGGATGCTTGTGTCTCCTCCGTGGCTTCATCTGTTTTCCTCGCCAGTGAAGGTGTTTTCCCTTTCCCGAGCTGCTCCTGGGCCAGGCCATCAGCCCCCAGCCCCGGCCCCGTGCCGGTGTCAGCCGTGTCCCCTCCTGACATGGGCCGGGTGGCAGTGCCCACAGGGGCCACGGGGGCTGGCAGCACAGTGGGCACAGCAGCCTGCCCAGGGTCAGCCCTGCAGCCCAGCCCGGCCAGGGGCTGCATCAGGGGCGACTTGTCGGGCTCAGCTTCCCCTTCAGCATCCAAACTGGCTTTAGGGGCTCCAATCTCTGCTTGAGCCTCATCTTTGGGGTGCTTCCCAGGCGAGCTGTCCCGGTGGACTTCCCCTACCAGCAGGTCACCTGGCTCTGAAAAGATAAAAGAAGATGGTTAAACCCTGACCTGCAGTGCACTCCTTTCCAGAGGGCTTTCTGTTCCCTCCTCACAGCTGCTCCAGGGTTGGATTTGATGGGGGATCCACTGGCTCAGAACTCATTTCCCTCCTGCCTGATGACAGGCAGTCACTGCTCACTTGGGCAGAGTTAAAAATTGGTGAGCAGTGCTCAGGGATGCATGACACAAGACAACACCACAAAATGTGCACAAGCAGGGAGAAGGGGAGCAGGAAGGCGTGCTCAGTGAAGGAGAAACAGGCTGCAGGAGGGATCTGGGGCTGCAGGAGGGATCTGGGGCTGCAGGAGGGATCTGGGGCTGCAGGAGGGATCTGGGGCTGCAGGAGGGATCTGGGGCTGCAGG